GAATGCCACTTGCTTGTAGGCAAATTAACAGAGACTTGGTTGAGAACTAATTGCTATTTGGTGGGTGCACAACTTTAAGAAAAGAATATTTGAGGCACAGGCATCACTCCCAGTGCTGTTTGAAAAGCTCCTGTGAGGTCTGCAAAGATGCTTCCTTTGCTTGGTAGTGTTTAGTGTGCTGGGTGATCAGCAGGGTGTGAGATGTGGTTTCAGCAGCAAACCTCTGGGAACCTACAAGCAGTCTGCAACTGGGAGCAGAGGAGTTCCATGCACAGAGTGAGGGACAAACAGCAGCTGAGAAGTCCAGTCAAAACCAATGTGCTCTGCAGAGGATACCAGTCAGCAGCAAATGTTTGAAGTGAGGTTTTTCTTCTGGGCTGTGTTAACAGGAATGTCAAATAATAGGATGGAGAAACTCACTCTGTTTGACTTGGTGCTTGTGAGGGAGCCTCAGGCTTCAGATATCCCAGAAGATGCTGGTAAGCTGGAAGGAACTCAGGGAAGTGAAAAAAAAAATTAAAAAAAATAGGGTTTAGTATGAGGAGGGAAAAAACTCTAAAAAGACCATGGCTGAAGAAGTTGGGAGTGGACATGAATTTACTGGGTTTTGTTTTACAAACAGATCTTTAGGGAAGGCTTCAGCTGTTTTAATAGTGGATGTCATAATTTTAATGATGGATCTGTCTGAGAAAGTGGGGATAGGGAGGTTCAGAACTGGCACTCAGCCTGTGCAAGATTTCCTTCCACTCCTGGGTGTCCTGGGATGTGCAAGACTCTTCAGTTTATTAGAGGAACTTCTTGAAGATGTCTGGCTGAGCAACTGCCCCTGAAGTGCCCCTGAGCTTGGTGTTTCAGCTGTTGGGGTTTTGCAGGGACCTGCTGTCCCCCTGGTGACAGGTTAGGGGTGTGGGCAGGAGCAGGGGATGAAAGGTCTCCATTGCACGCTGTGCATCTCAGAGCCATCATCACCAACCTGGCTCTCTCTTTTCTCTTTGCTGCTTCAGACTTGGAATAACTCACATTGCAATGATGCAGTGAGGGAGAGAGTGTGTCACGTGTGGAAACAGCTCAGGCAGGTCTGCAGCAGGGTAGTGTCCCAGGCAGGAAGTGGTGGCTGTTTCTTGGGGGCCCTTGCTGCAGAGGGCACAGCTCTCACTGCAGACAGGTCCCTGGCTGGGGTTTTGGTTCCTGAGTGCTTCACATCTTGCTGTGCATCAGCCCATGGGGTGAGACAAGTGACTGTCACTGGCCTGGGGTGTCTGCCATGTTTGTCTGGTTTCAGAATCAGGGAACTTCTTCTCAAAATATGTTTTCCTTTTTTATTTTGATAGTATAGATTTAGAAGGCAACTTTGGTGCCAGGTACAGAGACGGGCACATCGTGGCTGTTTGGTTTCAAAAGCAGCAGAACCCAAGAGCAACTGTAGCAATGTCACTGCTGGTGCTTCTCCCTGGGACCCTGGAGAACAGCTGGGTGCAGCAAACTGTAGTCCTTGCTGCTCCCTAAAGTTCTCCTGTAACAGGTCCTTGGTGATGAGCATGGGGACCGCTGCTCCAACTAGTGTGTAAGGATCCAGCTGTGAGGAACACCTCATGTGTCTCTTCAGAAATCACTTCAGCTGATGTTACCTGCAGATTTTGGCATCAGTGGCATCCATGTGGGGCATCCTGTGTTGTCACTAACCTCTTGTGCTTGAGGACAAGACATCCCAGTGTCCCTCAAGTAGTCAGTCTGTGTGTGTTATGGACAGTGACTCATCTTTGGAGTCATCTGAGAGCTCCACAAAGACATGGAAATGCCAGAACTTGTCTGGTTCAAAGCACTTGGTGTGTTGTGACTCCTGCTCTGGTGTTTGCCTGCACTCTTGGTATCCCAAGAGCATTGTATGCCTTGTGTCAGAGCACTGACCTTCTACTGGTACTGGGTGAGAAGTCATCTGCTGCCCAAACCTTCTGTACCCTTGGCTCTGCCTGCACAGGTGGGACAGCTGTGCTCAAGACCACCCAGAACAAGTGCTGGGAGGTCTGTGTGTGCTCAGGGCCCCAGCCTGTCCTCCCTTCACCTGCAGTAGCTTGAGCTCAGACTCCAAATGCCCAAAGCAGAATGAGGCACCTGGAGGGAAGGGGCAGATGCATCCTGAACACAAGCTCCCCTGTCCCGTACGCTGGGCTGCTCACTGGAGCTCCAGCTGAGCAGCCTGTGGGGCTTGCAGTGTTCCCTGGGGTCTGGTTAACATTTCAACCTTCCCTTCTGTCAGCTTAAGCTTACTTGGCTTGTTTGTCATGGTATTCCCAGCATACCTGCAGGCCTGGGCTGTCTGAAAGTTAAGGACATTCAGTTGCCTTTTTGTATGTAACTGTACAGTTCTGTCTGCTTTTGCATACAATGCAGTGTCCAGAAATACAAACAAGAATAGAAAGAATTACTCAGAGATTAGTAAAGAATGAATAATATATTAATCTTCTGGTTTCTAAACAAATCATAGTTGCTTTTTCCTTATTTTATGAAAATAACTGAAACTTCTGTTTCTGTACACTTGAGCTGCACTAGATGTGATTCTGCTGCTTTTCTTCCCCACCCAGATACTACTGTTTCTCTCCTGATTTTTGTGTCCTGCCACATCTGATTATGTTAATTGTTTTAAGAAATTATTTCATTTTTACGTCTGTCCATTTTAACCTCAACCTCCTTTTTAATCCTGAGGTTGGAATCATGTTCTCCAGTTTTACTTCTCTGTTGAATTGCTTCCACTGCAAGTCACTTCCCATCTGCCTTGGCAGACTGTTTTCCCAGTCCCTTTCCAGTCTGTAGAGATTGTATCACATTTTTTTTCATGTAGACATAATCCCTCCAGACTTGCATGCTCTGCAGACTCAGGCCTGTATTCTTTAAGCAATGGGCAAACAGACTCAACTGCATTGGACTCAAGCAGATCTCCCTGTGTCCCATTAAACACCAGTTCTGAACTCTACATCCCACCATCAATCTTGCATTGTGTGCTGGGGTGGCTGTCAAGTCCTCTCATAGTTCTAGCTAATTCTCATTGTTTTCTGATGCATTGTTTCAGTATCTGGAATTATTCTTAATTCTTTGCTGGGAGACAAAAATACTGGATTTAACATTTTGAAAAATGTTAAAGTTTAATAGGAAACCAGAGTGTAAAGCCAAATTAATTAGGTAGTTAAAACAATGGATTGAGAGAAGCAAGGCAGAAATTTCCTAGATGTTTGCCCCTGACAGCATGGCACACACTTGGCAGATGTTCCTGTGTGTTCAGTCAGCAATATTATTGCACCATTGTGTGGAGAAAAACACCAGTCCTCTTCAGGAAAAAGTCTAAATGAAACAACTTCCAGTGTAAATTGCTCGTCAGCATTTTAAGACTTCAGCCTTTTATCAGTGTCTGTAGGTTGTCAGATGGAGCCCTGTGTTTGGTGCTGACTCCAGCTCTTGTCTCCAGAGAGTGCAGTTGTAACACTGGGATTGCACAGGATCCACACACTGGGTGACCACATATACACCTTTTGCACAGAGATGTTCTGTCAGCCTGGTTGTTGCCCCCTGCCCCAGCCCTCTCCCTGCTACCCCCTTTCTCCTCCAGCTGAAACTCCTACAAGTCCCGACTATCTTAACCTGCTGTCTGCTTCTGTTTAGTTCTTCCCGTTTCTTTCCTCTCTGCTTCTGACTGAATCCTTTGCCTACTTCACAGGCCGGTTCTTTGATGAGAATGAATCCCCTGTTGATCCGCAGCAGGGCTCTAAACTGGCAGATTATAATGGGGATGATGGTAACGTGGGTGAGTATGAGGCAGACAAACAGGCTGAGCTGGCTTACAATGAGGAAGAGGATGGTGATGGTGGAGAAGAAGACGTCCAAGGTGAGCTTGGGCCTTATCTCCATCCCATTGTGACAAAATCCACGCTGAGTGTTCTTGTTGAATTTGTGTAAAGCCTCATTGTTTGTAGCTGATCACCAATTTCTAACACTGAACTGATGAGCTTTGGGCAACCTGTAACACTGGGTCTTGCTCTCTGTTGGAAGGCAGTCACAGCTGTGATCACTGGGAGGACCTGGTACCTCCTTTCAGGCATCTGTACAGTTCCTGCTAGAAAATCAAGACACTTAAATTTCAGAAATGGGTTTGCCTAAAAAAACCCAGTCTGGTACCTGGCTGGTTGGGGTGTGATCTTTGCCATTTCTAAAGCAATTTCCAAAGTTGTTGTTTGGGGTTTTTTTTGACTGCTGCTGTTGTCACACCTGCCTTGAGGCCGTGTGTGATGAGGTCTCAATGAGCAATTCCAAGTGTCACTTTCGTGGATCATACACAGATTCAACAGGCTCCTGGTTTTCCCTGCTAACCAAACTCCAGAACTTGTGGATCTGGTGCTGCCTAACACCTGTATGTGCATGTTCACCACCCTGTGCTCTGCATGTCATTCAGTGCATCCTCCATTGCTTGTCTGCCATGTCTCTGCCACGGTGTCTGCCACCCTCATCCAGCTGCTGGGTGATGTTTTGTGAGAGGGTTGCATGTCTGGAGGGTAAAAATGTTCATGTAAACACATATAGTGTTTCCAATTAAGGAAAGTGCAAAATAAAGGAGGGAGGGGGAAAAAACCCAGCCCCAATTGAAGTTCTGCTGATTTTGATCCTCACAATGCAAGTTATTCAGCTGATAGTTTTTAGACATGTTTTTAATTGGTATGCAAACATAATTAATGGGGAAAGCTGTTGAAAAGCAGCTGATTCTGTGGGCACGCATCTGAGTGTGGAATGAGTGTTTTTTGGCTAGGCTGGGAGTTGGAAACTCATGAACAAGCTAAAGGGAAGTATGGATCAGAACCCTGAGCAATTAATGAATGTGCTGTTCAAAATGACAGCTCTGCTGCTGCTCCAGAAGCTGTGGCCTGTTTTGTTACACTTGTGCTGAAAACTCTAGCCGTGGGTTGTGGTCACTGGGGATTGCTGTGGTCTGCTTCTCTGGATGGGGGTTATTGGGCTGAAACTTGAGTGTGCAAGCTGGCTTCCCAATGGAGGTACAGAGTGTGTGCAGCTGCTTCTGCTGCTGCCATGGAGCAGGAGACTCCCCTCTGATGGACATGACCTTGCCATGGGAAGCGTGGTGCCTCGTGTGTCTGTGCTGCTCTGCACAGCCCAGCAGTTGGTGGGTCAGGTTTGTCGTGGGCTCAGTTCAGCTCCTCAGTGAGCTTGGGTGATGCCAGGCTCCTCACCAGATAGTGGCTGGACTGGACTTAAGAAGGCAGGTTTCCAAGTTGTGACCACGGCCACAGAACTGCTACTGCATCCATGCTCCCTCCTGCTGTTCCTCAGCCTTTGGGCTCCTCTTGCCCCCTGCCCAGCAGGGGAGTGGAAGGGGGTGGCAGGAGTGGCTGCCCGCCCACCCCATGGTGCTGTGTCCTGCCTCAGCACTGGGATGGTCACTTCCCAGCACCAATCCAGGGCTGTGGTGGCCTTTACAGGGCAACTCCAGGCTTCAGGCAGCAAGGGCTGGTGTCAGGTCTGCTGTCAGCAGTGATGTGACCAGCATGCCTGTCTGCCACTTACAAAGAAGGGGGGGATGTGAGAGCAGCAAATGGTGGAAAATGGTTTAAAACTGTAGATTGTGCTTAGGTAGCTTGCCAGGTAGGGGATATGTGAAAAGAGCTGCAAGTGGCCTCAGAAACCTGTTTGCCTTTGAGACCTGTTACCTCTCAGTTCACTGCTCTGGTGGCTTTAAATCTTGGCAAAAACCATCATCAAATCCTCTGTATATTTGTATAGACATAATGGATTTAATCACTGATAGCAGAGATTGAAGAGTGACTTCTGGAAACCTTTTCATGAAGAATAGTCTGAGCAGTGTATGTAACTACCTCAGACTTAATTTCCAAGCTCTTTGTTATATTGTTTCCTGATAACATGTTGATTTGATCTAAGTCAAACAGCGTGGCAAGTGGTACTGCCAGAAGCAGCATTTTAGAACAGCTTTAGTCGTTACACTTGATTTGTTTGCAGGGTAGGAGAGGGTGGAGTTGTGGGGGTTTGGAGGGAGGGTGGTCATAATTGTTCAGGGAGGGGAAGAAACCCTGAATTTCCATCTAAAAACTATTAGAAAAACATCACATGGTTTTGCAGTAGGTTAGAACAAAGCATGTGGCGTGTGCAAACAAAGCAATTTAATTAAACATGTTTTTCTGTTGCCACTAGAAATGTGTGGGCCTTAGATGGAAATTATCAGAGGAAAATACACAAATCTGGGAGATGGGCTCATGTGAATGCCAGCACCCAATCTGGCATTCCTTCTCCTGTCCACCTGCTGACATGCAAGGTGATATTTAATAACTGTTGGCTTCTACTAGTATGTGTTTGTGGTGGCTGGATGCTGGAGGATTATGTGAATCAAGTGATCCCCACATGCTGTGTTAGCTTCTTGCTGAACACAGATGTGTCCTGAAGATAAAGCTCAGCCTCAAGCTGCTGGGGCAGGTTGCTGTTGGGTCCCCACCTCCCACCCAGGCTGAGGAATGAGCTGCAGGGTGCTGAACAGCTTCAGACAGCTCATGGTCCAGTGACAGGCTTGGTAGACCTCAGGTTTGCTTTCCATCCCTGTGAACAGGCATCCTTCCTGGATAAGAAGGAAGCAGTTTTCCAATGCAGCAGAGCTCATTAACTGAGGCAAACTGAAGCTTTAGGGCTTTTTCACTTGCTGAGGGAAGGAGGCTGAGGACCCACATGGGAGAGAGCGGAGTTACAGCAGTACGATGCAGGCTCTTCTGGTCTAAAGATGACTTGGATACTGAATGTGCATTTTCTTGGTGGATATGAGGATGCACAAGGGTTTTTTAATTTTATGATTCTTCGTGAGGCTCAAAAACCAAAATCCAAGGAGTGGAAGAGAAGAAGCAGGGCAGAGTAGAGTGGTGGAGAGAGACAGTAATTTTGGATCTGAAAAATGAGATGAAATGTCTTTGTTCTTCCAGTCAAGGGCTGTCAAATCTGAGAAGCAGGGGAAGAGGTATGACCTTAGTCTGGAGCAGGTCATGCTGACTTCTGTGTGCTCGTCCTGTGAGGTGCCCAGCCTTTGTAAACCTTGGAGCACTAACTCCAGAATGGGTTAAAAAGTGGCAACGTAACTTCCTGAAGTACTTGACTTTGTAGTTGAGTTTTAGTGAGAGAGTTTGAAACCTTTCAAGGAACAAATGACAGCAGGGAGTTTAACTAGCCCTGCAGTCTCTGCAGTCAACGAATCTGAAGCACAGCTACAGTAAAGGCAGATACTGAATAGTGGGAAGTCCCAGCTCTTCAGGAGGGACAATGCCCAAGTGCTGCCCACTGGACCTGCCACTGCAGGCCCACGTGTCTTCTCCATGTTTCCCCAAGGGACTTCATTCCCATAACCAGAGAAGGCCAACCTGGGGTGGATGTGTGGGTTGGCAGCAGGTTCTGGGAAACTGTTTTTTCAGTAGTGTCACATCAGATTTAATATGAGTATTTTAATTGCAGATGATGAAGAAAGAGACCTACAAAATGACCTTGACTATGGCAAGCCACGCTTCAGTGATGGGGTCCTGTAAGACTGGGATGAAGCAGGAAACATGGATGAAATGAGATCTCCACTGAGGAACTTCAAGTGCTGCAAAAGTGAACCATTTTTACTTCAGTCTTCCTTACTTTAAGGGAAGCTGGTAATTAAAAGTGATGAGTGTGCTCAGAGTCAGTGAAGTAGCAGAAGGAACCGGTTCTGTACAGATGTACATAGTTGTACTATTGCAAACTGTATGAAAACAACACTTCTCTTGTTCCATTGAGCCAACTACTTAGACTGTACCTTACCTGTAATAATCTTTACATTGAAAACCCGTATTATAAATACAGGCCGAGTTGTTTCTGCCATCAGAAACCTTTGTAAACTGGAGAACTTGTACAGTTTGTACCTCATGTAACAAAGACACTGTGGAAACAATGTACAGCCAAAGGACTCTTTTTCTACAGTAACACCTGTGTGAGCAAGGATGCTCCTGCTTTCCTCCTGAGTGCTGTGATTTTGTAATCTGCAGGTGAGCGACCAGCTGAGAATGGAAACAATGTTTAAAAAATTGCTCCTTCCTTAATGTAGCTGAGGAAAGGCCATGACAGTCTTTGGAAGTAAGCACCAGTTCCATTCTTGTAGCCAGTGACCAAATCTTGTAGCGAGAGCTGGAAATCAGTGATGTCAGGATTTAATCATTTGGTACATCCTGAAAAAGTTGTGTAACTAACAGCTGATTTTAAAAGGTAAATAAATAATTCAGCAGAGCTTGTAGGAAACCTTTGTTGTGTGTGTTACAGAGAGCAAGTGTGTTAGTAGAAAACAGTCAGGGCTGCATCAGCTTTTTGAGAACCCTAATGGGAGGAACAATCCCAGCCGTGGGTGAATCTGTTCCCTGCTCTGTCTGTCTCCAAAACGTCCCTCCTGGGTCACAGCCACGCCAGCTAATTCAGCATTCCACACTTTGATACAGGTCTCAACCTCTGCCACGTTCCAAGGTTTGATTTTCTAGATCAGAAGGTTCGTACGTGAGATACCTTTTGTATTCTGTGTTTCAGCACTTTCTGAATCTTATGGCAATGGTTCTGTTGATCCACAGTAGTGGAAATGAAGGTTATTAACCCAGCCTGCTCCTTTAAAAGGGCTACTGTGAAATTAACTTCTAGGGCCTATGACATGGGTGATTGTACTTTATCTCTGTACTCAGGTTCCAGATGAACAGTCAAGGTTTGCTCGATGCCACTTCAGTGAACCTGTTACACCAATTGCAATGTCATACTTTTGTTCTTTTTGCTACAGGTTCTTCTACCAATCAGTCTGAAATAATACAAGAAATAAACATTGCAGATTCTGGTGATGCATCTCAAAGGTTGTTTTTGTTTATTTGTTTAAGGCTTGAGCTCCTCATTCCATATTGCTGGGAGGCAGACAGGGAATAGTCTTTGCATGGTGTGATGTACTTGCAGTTGAAAGCCTGCTCAGAATGAGACCCCCACCCCAGAGCTGGGACAGGCTTGTGCCAGGACTCTGAGAGCAGCCTCAGTAAATACTGTATTTAAGCAATTTTTTGGTCTTAAAATGTAATTTCACCCTGAACTAGGTGTTAGTTTGATTCTTCTAATGAAAGCAACGTTTATGGGTTCTAATAAATTGTTTAAAGTAAGTAGGTTTCTGGCATTTTTTTTAACTTTCTGGATTAACTTTGGGCTTCACAGGGTTGAGGTGCTTTGGCCCAGCAGCAGTGGGCATAGCTGCTGCCTTTTGGTCTGAGGGGTGACCAAGGTGATGTCTGACACACGAGCTCAACACCTACAGAGATGCTCTTGCAGAGAGGTCAGTGACTCCTGGTGGTGTGAGATGGGTTGTCCTGGTTCACAGTGAGGGGCAGGGGGGCACACCCAGAGCAGTTCCCACAGGCCCTGTGGCTATATCCTGGCTCAGCCTGCTGTCACCACTTTCTAATCAGACAAGGGGAAATACAGACATAGGAAGGAGAGACTCAAGTGTCTGTCTTGGAAGAAAACCCCACCCCTAGTGTGGTTGGTGTCTCCTTGGCAGAAGGACCAGAGCTGCAAGGGAGCCTTGTTTTGACTCTATTTTGGGAAAATACCTGGCTGAAGTACAGCCCATATAGAAACCCAGTTTGGGTAGCTGCAGGGTGAGCAGGAGCTTCTGGCAGTCTCCCCTGACATCCTTGTGAGCAAGCTCAGGAAGTGTGGGGTAGAAAAGTGGACAGTGAGATGGATCGAGAACTGGCTTGAACAATGGAGCCCAGAGGGTGGTGATCAGTGGTGCAGAGTCCAGCTGGAGACCTGAAGAGTCCCCCAGGGATCAGTGCTGGGTCCAGTCCTGTTCAACACCTTCATCAACCACCTGGATGAGGGGACAGAGTGTGTCCTCAGCAAGTTTGCTGATGATACCAAACTGGGAAGAGTGGCTGATCCACCTGAGGCTGTGCAGCCATTGAGAGAGACCTGGACAGACTGGAGAGCTGGGCAAAGAGGAACCTAGAGAGGTTCAACAAGTAAGTGTAGAATCCTGCACCTGAAGAGGAACAACAACATGCACCAGTACAGGTCAGGAACTGACCTGCTAGAGAGCAGTCCCATGGAGAAGGACCTTGGAGTCCTGGTGGACAACAAGCTATACAGGAGCCAGCAATGTGCCCTTGTGGCAAAGAGGCCAATGGCATCCTGGGGTGCATTAAGACCAGTGTGGCCAGCAGGTCAAGGGAGGTTCTCCTCCCCATCTACTCTGCCCTAATGAGACCCCACCTGGAGTACTGTGTCCAGTTCTGGGCTCCCCAGTTCAAGAGGGACAGGGATTTACTGGAGAGAGTCCAATATGAGGATCATTAAAGGACTGGAACACTTGCCTGATGAGGAAAGGCTGAGAGACGTAGGGCTGTTTAGTCTGGAGAATACTGAGAGGGGATCGTATGAATGTCTAAATATCTGAAGGGTGGGTGCAAAGAAGGAGGGGCCAATCTCTTTTCAGTTGTGCCCTGTAATAGGACAAGGGGCAATGGATGCAAACTAGAGCACAGGAAGTTCCACCTCAACATGAGGAAAAGTCTTTACTGTGAGGATGACAGAGCCCTGGGACAGGCTGCCCAGAGAGGCTGTGGAGTCTCCTGCTCTGGAAACTTTCAGGACCCACCTGGATGCCTTTCTGTGTGACCTGCCCCAGGTGATCCTGGTCTAGCAGGGGGTTGGACTGGATGATCTCCAGAGGTCCCTCCCAACCCTCACCCTTCTGTGATTCTGTGATCTTAGTGGGTATCCTTTTAAGGAATGTAATGTAGGTCACCAAGCACTTTACCCTTCATTATTTAGTGATCCAATGTTTAAAGAATTCTATTTCTAAGGGGAATTGTTCTGTCAAATTCCACTTTAGTTTAAAAAAAAAAAAAAAAAAAAGTCTGTTCTTTTGGGAAACTGCCAGAGTTTTTAGAGCAACATTCCTTGCCTTTTTGTTTGTAGGTGGCTTCATTACAGCCATTTCCTGAGCCATCTCCCCTCTCACATACACGTGGCTCCTGCTGCTTCCTCCACCCCCCCAGTGCCACCTTTTCTTTCCCACTGCTCCTTGCTGTTTCCCCTGGCTCTCCTCCTCACACTCTGCTCTGCACCCCGGGTCCTCCCCCCTGCCCTGCCTTGCAGCACAACACCCAGCTCTGCTAGTACATTCTTCTGCCTCTGCCTTGAGCCAAGGCTCCTGCAGACCTGCAGCACTTTCCAACAGCTCTTCCCCAGCTGGGATCGGCTGCTCCAGAGGACTTGGGATGCTGGATTCACATGGGCACCTACACACTGCTTGAGCAGAAAGTACACCTCTGAACTACCAACATGAGGATGCAAGACAACATTTAGAGGTGTCTTCATTTTTCAAGAGTTCCTTGAGCTCCTTGTCCTCAACATCATGAGAGGTTTGTTCTTTGTACAATATCTTGGGAAGCAGTAAGTCCCATTAATGTTGCAGCAACCTTGAACTGGGGTAACTACCATGGCTGGAAGGAGGCTATTCCTAAAGCAAGTGTCCCCAAAGGCAAAACAAGTAGGCCAAAAAGTGAGGCTCACTTCGTTTTTACATGCTGCTCAAAATACAAACCAACAAATTACCAGTTTGTTTCAAGAGCAACTTTATACAAGTGTAGTTTGCCAACCACCTGAGATTTGCACTTCCTCTGAGGAAGGCAGAGGCCTAAAGAAGTGACCAAACTGTGACTGCCTTCAAGTGCAGAGAAGAGCACGTGCTGAACAAAATGCAATAAAGGCACGTTTCTCTAATGAAGTTCTACAAAACACTGGCACAGTTTTTAAAAACATTAACTTAAAATATGAATCACTGATCTGCTTATTTGTGTGACTATCCCTAACATACTAAAAAGACAGGTTCTGCTCAGCACCACCACTGCTGTTTATGAGTACAAATGACTAACCTATCTTGGTTTTGTTTTTCAAAATGTGATTTTGAAATCCCGATGCCAGTTCTGCTGGGCCAATACCCGTTCCCATGGCAACAGCAGCATACAAAATGTTGACATATTTCAGAGAGAGTGAGCTACTTCAACAGCTGCTTCCCTGAAACCACCAGCTAGACTTTAAAATAAAACTGGCTCTCACATTTGGTGGAACTGGTTTACAAGAAAAATCAAACAAAGCATCTTTAACTGACAGTCCAGCCCAGATCTTTTCAAACACTCTGCATGCAGCTCCAGCAGCCCCTTGCCTGCTTGCTTTAAGGCTCCTTTTATAAACAATCCTCATGGTGACACACTAAAGGAGGAGTCTCTTGAAAAAAGCTGCTTGTAGGACCAACAAACCCTCCGATATCTTTTCACCCCATTTCCATACACACTTTAATAAGAGCTTCACCTACAGTTCTGCAGTGCTGAGCGCTCGGCCTTGGCATCAGGAAGACAATGAGTGAGTGGGGAAGGTGAGTGCCCAACGTCCACCAGGGAGGCACAAAAGTGCCAGTGTTGGACACAGAACTGTGAGGAGATGGACTCCCCAGCCATCACTTTAGCCCAGCACGTTGCTC